CAACCATTTTAAAATCTTGTGAAAAAATCGCGTTGTCACAATGTATTTGCACGCTATAGTAGGCCGACGATTGAAAAGTATCCTAATTAAGTGATCACGAATTTTCCGTCCCATATCAGTGCGTTTTTTTTTTTTTTTTTTTCGATTTGTTTGTGGAAGATAAACATTCGATAGAATAAAGCACAGCTGTATTTTAGAAATTTGCAGTATGTTACGGTAGATGCTACGAAACAATGTTACGATTTTAAAAAGGAAGATAAAAATCTTCTATGCATCATTCAGCAGCTGTGACTTTGATAGCAATAAAAAGCAGTAAAACATAATAAGTGAAGAAACAGAAAAACGTATTTTTCAGCATTTAATTTGATTTATGTTTACTAGTCTTAGACAGCGCAACAATTTGTATGCACATTAAAATTTTGCAAATGGCGTGTATTGAATGCATATAAAAATTGCAGATGCAGCCCGCCCATATTAATGTTTTCTCCGTAAATTGCTGATTTCGAGATTATCAAGCTAAAGGAAACCTAACTGCTATATTCAGTTCTCAGCACCTATCTGTTACTTTCCTATACTTTTATTCTGATAACCTCACATCTCTGAAAAGTTTATTTTCATTTCTAAAAAATGACCATGCATTAAATTCCTGGCACTTTTAACGTTATTTAAACTGATAAGCACGTATGACCTTAATCGACGTCAGTCCTCTTGTTTTTCTCCAAAATGGTCATTATGATGACTCGCATACGTATAAGTCGTAACACAAATAAAATAGCATGAGGTGAATAAAGAAACAGAGAGTTTATGAAATGGCCTTATTTTCTTGTGCTTGTACAGATTGCCGATTTCACGTACAGCAATATGAACTCAGAAGATAACATAACGTACACAATGTCTTTCATGCGATATATAAGAGTTTAATTTATTAAATGACGGAAATCGTAGCTTTGATTGTATGTAAAAAATGCTATGTGTTACAGTTTGAAGATTTTGGGCAACGAAATTTGTGCATGGCAGTTTGAATTCAAAGGACAACACTTAGAGATATCCACTGGCACTTAAAGATATCCAGTGTCTTTTGTGCATCGAAGTTCAATAAATTTTTTTCAGATTTAAGATATATAATTTTGCTCATTATAGCTTTTTATGTAGAATTTTTATCTTTGGCTTGGTAATTTTACATTAAATAACTCATAGCAATTAGTAAGGAATTCTGTTTCATTGCTTAACTCTCAAACTGGGATATGGTGAAAATTTTTTGTGTAAATGGTACAGCTCGATCCTGCAGATCCATAAATTAATTTTCACTTTTACGAAAATTTTCAAATAAATGATCAGTTATTCAGGGAAATGAATAATAATTTTGTTTCAAAATACATATAGTCAATATTTTTCTTGAAAATGAAAATTCTCTCAGTATGATATTGAGATATTCATAACATATACCAGGTAAGGAAAAAAAAAAAAAAAAGAACAAAACTTGTTCACCCTGGTTCAATCACGGTGAGCGGGTTGATGCCGTGGGCATTTACATAGTATTTCCATGCATAAAGTTCATACGAGAGAGTTTCCCATAGAATGGGCCTCTACAAATGTATCCTTCCCTTCGGCAATAACTCTATTGTGCTCAAACAATCCAATCGAATCTAATGAGCTAAATAGATGCTATACCAAATAATTATTGAAGAACTTATGAAATTAATTAAAAAAGCACTTAATCGGCTCAGAAAGTTAGTTCAGCTTTATTTCTGTCTCTTTAAATGGAATAAAGTTAAATTTAAAGAAAAATTTTAAATGTAATTTAGTTCGAATTTCTTTATAAGCTTCGGAAGATTCCTTAAATGAAAAAAAGAATTAAAAAAAAAACTGAAAGTAAAACATTCAGGAATGTCGAATAATTTGTTTACAAAATAAAATTATTTCGTTTCCAATTAATAGTAATAAAAGCAAGAAACCGATTCGAAATTTTCCTACTTTTTTTCCTTTTCTTTTCTAAAGTTCTTATCTTCGAAAAACACCTATTGGTTTAAAATGGGAATCAGCAGTTCTCCCCCCCCCGTTACAGAAGTACTTATACTTGCGTTATTAACAATGGGGCTGTTTTTATATAGAAAATGTAAAAAACGAAAAAATTTTACAATTCTATACATAATAATGCTCTGATTGGCGAGCACGTAGATCAATAATGCATAATAATGGATTATCAATAATGGTTGAATTAGTCCGTTGTAATATCATAAAACGCTGTCTCCGTAAGAAATTTGGTAGCAAGGACTATTAGAAATAGGTAGCGTGTTTTTAAACTAAGCGCCGTTTTGTTGTATACGCTTCGCGCGGGCGGCAACGAGTGCTGGCATCGTGTCTTGGCATTCCTTGGAAACAACTATACTCAGTTGCATCTGTGTAAGTAACCTGTACGGTCTTTCAAACGTTCAAGATTATCTAATCGCCCGCCCCGTTCAAGGTACTGTCAGTAATAAGTTTTTGTCTGCAAGAAACCTGTCTAGTGCAAACATTCACTGGCAGATTTGTGCAGTTTACGGAGCTGCTCTCATAAGTGAAGGAAAAGTGAATTTGAAAGTAGGTCAGAAACTTCAAAGCTGGCCGCGACAACGCCCATGATGAGTCCCGCTTCGGTTGCCCATCTGTAATCACCGACGATATGGTGGCTTCAATTGAAGCGAAAATTCTTGAGAACAGACGTTTCACCATAAGCACCCTTTCAAACGAATATCCTGAAGTGTTTAGCATAGGATGTGAAAACGGCCGTGACCTCTTGGTTATCGGAGCACGAGGCAAGTTTCTATGAAGAGGGTATTCAAAATCTAGTTCTAAGATATGATAAGACTTTAAACAAACTTTGGCAAGAATGTTGAAAAATAGAGAAACGTATGTAGAATCTGAAAATAAATTTTGTTTTTGAAAATTTTCTTTCGTTTGGTTTTTATTTTCAATCTGCTCTTACTTAAAAAAACACCCCTCGTACTTGCGAATTTCTTTTACTGCGCCGATTTTCAGTTTGATCGTATTCTACTGATAGTTAGGTAAGGGGCAACTGAAAAAGAATGTATTGAATTCTGAGAAGTAATTTTTCTTACTGAAGCCATTTTTTTGTTGGAATGTTATTACTTTACTCTTTAAAAGCTAATATATTTTTTTTTACTAAGTTTAGAAAATTTGAATAAAATATCATTTTATATTTATAAGTTCTTGTTCGAATGTCGCTTAGGAAAACATTACTCATAACTTGACATTTAATGCTTTTGTTACTTGTTATCTAAAACTTTTACTTCATTGCTAACATGTTCATGTAACAATAATGCAATTTTCACATGCGATTTATTTTAAATGACTAATAATAATAATACACTGCTCGACATTGAGAATGCAACACCAAGAAGGAGTGGTCAGAAATTTATGCAAATTTTAGAGTAGACGCACGTCACTGAGTTATGCAAATGATGGGAAATGCGCAGCTCTCCGACACACGTGAAGTAAGATATAAGGGAAGGAACGTGCAGAATTGGCAATATTCGTGTCGTTATTTCTGCCAGACGAATTATCGAAGAAAGTTGGTTTTTGTCCCGGAGGATACGTGTAATAGGAGAGAATGGCCAGGCCGCCGCCAACGATGGCACTTCCAGCAGATAGACGATTTTACGAGGGGCATGGTGATCGGACTGAGAAGGGCGGGTTCGTCCTTACGTCAAATCGAAGCTGATACCCACATGGGTGCGAGCACGGCGCATCGGCTATAGCGAACATGGTTGGAACAAGGAAATGTGGGAAGAAGGAAGGGTGCAGTTGCAGCCAGAGTGACGTCAGCACGCGTGGATCGACGCATTCGCCGACAAGCTGTGGCGGTCCCACAAATCGCTTGTACCGCGATTCTGCAGCATGTGCAAGATGCCCTAGATATTCCCGTGTCGATCAGAACCATTTCCCGTCGATTGGTTGAACGTGGCCTGTACTCACGGCATCCGTTAAGAAGACTGCTATTGACGCCACATCACAGACGCCAACTTTTAGAATGGTGCCGGACTGGAGCAATGTGGATGACAGAATGGCGAAACGTCGTGTTCTCAGATGAGTCACGCTTCTCTTTATCCAGTGACAGTCGCCGCATACGTGTGTGGCGTCGACTGGAGACAGATCGAATTCGGCAGTAACTGTGGAACTCCCCACCGCGCGACAACGTGGCATAATGGTTTGGGGCGCTATTGCCTACGATTCCACGTCACCTCTAGTTCGTATTTAGGGCACTATGACGGCCCAACGATACTTGGATAATGTACTGCGGCCGGTGGCAATTCCCTAATTTCAGGGGCTGCCTAATGCAATTTTTCAGCAAGATAACGCCCGACCACACAGTGCTTGCATCTGCCAACATGCTCTGCAAGTTATATAGATGTTTCCCTGGCCACCGTACTCTCCTGACCTGTCACCAATCGAACATGTGTGGACGTGATTGGACGCCGTTTGCAGACTCTGCCCCTGCCTCGTTCAGAAGACGAACTGTGGCAAATGGTTGAAAGGGAATGGAGAGCCATCCTTCAGGACACCATCCGCACTCTTATTGACTCTATGCCTAGACGTGTTTCTTCGTGCATCGCTGTCCGCGGTGGTCCTACATCCTACTGAGCCGACGCCGTTTTCTCTCTGTATTCTGACTATCATTTTGAAATAAAGATCACTTATTGCTGCTTGCTGTCTCTGTCTTTTTTCCAAATTTTATCACTTTCTGACTACTCCTTCTTGGTGTTGCATTTTTCAATGTCGAGCAGTGTAATAATTAACAATAATAATAAATTATTTAATTTAAATAAATACTGTTATTGTATTATTTTGTAATTTTATTTATTTTATATATATTTATAGTAATTTCTCCTTTTACACAGTATGCAGCATTACATTCATAAAAATGCATGATATGTCAAATGCTTGATTGTTTACCAAAGTTGACACTTCTTATTACCTAACAGCAACTGTTTTATTTTCAGGTTGCGATAAAGACAATAAAAAAGGCTAAAATTGAAAATGATGAAGATATGCTGCGCATTCGTAGAGAAATTCATATTATGAGAGCCATTAGACATCCTCATATCATACACATTAATGAAGGTATTTGTATAACAATTTTTTCATTGAATTAAATTTTATAAGAATATTTATCTGAAGTTTATTTGAAACGTCTGTTGGATGATATAAGTTAGTATGAAATGAGGGGAATAATCGCTTCTTTTATAAAAATTAAAAAACTGTTCGTATGAAAAATTTTCCAAATGGTAAACAACATTCTTCATTTTATATACAAATTTAATATAACTTAGTTAAAGCTAAACATGATTTTATTTTTTACGTATGACGAGAATACGTAGATCTTTTAATACCTATAATTAAGGACAGAAAAAAAGTTGAGTGCGTTGAACTCAAACCTAATGACATTAAAATTTTCAAACGAATTTTTGTTATACTCCTTTTTATGCAAAGATTGAAACAAGATGTCAAGCCTAAAATAACTGCCTAAATTCTATTTTTTTTATAATAATCAGGAAACTTGAAAATACTTAATTGCAATATCCATAAATTTCATTCCTAGTTTTTAGTAAATTAATTTTGTAACCCACTGAACTCAGGAAATGGTTTATGCAAAGACTGAAACAATGTCAAGCCTAAAATGACTGCCTAAATTCTATTTTTTTTTATAATAATCAGGAAACTTGGAAATACTAAATAGTAATATCCATAAATTTCATTCCTAGTGTTTTTAGTAAATTAGTTTTGTAACCCACTGAATTTAGGAATTGGTTTCACAATTTATAGTGTTAAGACATTAGGTTATTTAGAAGCAGGAGAGAGGAAAATTGAGCAATGCCTTCACCGGGACTCGAACTACGGACCTCTGGAATACGTGCCGAGCGTGCTAACTACTATACTACGAAGGCATGCTAAGAAAGCGGGAGAAACACCTTATAACGGTAGTAAAAATTAAGAATGCTATGAAAATGAGGAAAATAATCAAGACCATACAAATACTGCTGAAGGAACAATCTTGTCAAATGAAACAAAATGTATCATCTATAAAAGAAAAAATTAGCAGCTATGACAAAATTTTGAATACCAAAATACACTTTTTATAAAAATATATTCAAGCAGTCAGAAGCCATACCAACAGGTAAATTATAGTTCGAAACATGGGGATTGCACAATGATGAAAGGAATGCCGTAAAAGATAAAGCGCCTTTAAGAGACGTAGTACCTCCTCCAAGGGAAAAAAAAATAGAGGCTTAAAAAAGGTTTGAGGCGGGAGGAAAACCATAACTGAAAAGGAAGTTCTAAAAAAAGGGACAGTTAAAAAGGCCATTAGTATGAAGGTAAGCTCAACATAAAGGAAACGAATATCTAATACGGTCTATACGGTGGCTCTCGTTACCAATACACAGTGCTCCGCAAGCTTTACTGATGCAACATAAAATGGTGGCAGGAAATAGACTAAAGAAAAAATGCCATAAATTAGAGGGAGTAATAATAATTCATTACATATCAAGTAATTCATAGAGAAGAATTCTTCGTTTTATTTTTAAGATCACAATATAGAATTTCAAACCAAGAAATTGTTTAGATTTTCCGGTATATTTCATTCATTTTTATCGCAACAAAATAAGAACATGAATTAATTTGAGTTACCAGAATAGCTTCAAATTTCGCTATTAATAATAGGTAATGAAAAAGAAAGGGAAAGAAAATATCCCATGTAAATGTTGTTTTATATTTTATATATATGTTTTGATTCAAACAGAAAATTTAGATTTTTAGCTTCTACAACTATGCGCGCTGTTTTCTCATTTATCGCACATACACATTTATTAAATATGAAAATGCATTCAAAGTACTTTACACTAATTATATCAGAAAATGAAGAAAATAAAGTTAGGAAGATATTTAATGAGGATCAACTTATTGAAAAAACAATTCTCTTTTGTTGTCGAGGAAAGTCCAAGAACCTATGGGCTTAGAAGATAACTTAGGAAACGTCAAACGGCAGTATTCTGAGAGCTGGCAATTTGTCAAACCGCATGAGTTATAAATGAAATTTTATGCTGTTTGAAATGGCAATGCTTACAGTACAAAAGGTATAACATAGTATGAATTCTGGTAGCGTAAAGCAGATCTTGGTAACAAAAATCGAAAATAAACAATAAAAATTTAAGGTTAAAATAAACAAGTCCCTTAAAATAAAGAATTAAAAATATGATACGGGCATCACATTTAAACCTTGTAGGGCCTATTAAATTATACAATTATTTGCTGCACTTCATTTAAAACTATTTCCTTGAATTATTCTAACTTAATTAACCGATTTCTCAAGGCAAGTTGAAAAATGACATCAAAAACTGCAAATTTTGAAAATAAATATCTCGGTCAGCTTTTGTCGTACAGAGTCAAACTAATTTTATTTTTTCATTTCGTTATTTGTCACGTTTAAGCCGGGTAAGGGCGTGTGTGTGTATACATATATATGCCATTAGTATATATGTATATACGTTTGGTCCTGCCGATTGCAATAGAAAAGAGAGATGCACAACTAGATGTTATATCAGTCCCATATATAAAATTTTAGTGTCCTACGGCTAATTGTTTTTGAACTATGTGAGATACATACGTACTGTCTGTACGTATGTGCCACGAAAAATCCCTTTGAATCCACTTTAAATCCATTTAACAATCCGTTTTGGGAAAAGGAGTCCTTCATTCTGTCCGTACGTACAGATGTCACACAAAGAAATTGTCTAAATAGGTTCGGAAAAGGTCAAAATGGATATATAATGCCCGAAAATTTTCGCGATTACAGTACTTCCTTTACTTCGCACAAGGAAGTAAAAATGAAAATTCTTGGGTTCACACAAGCACGGAAGACCAGGAAACAGTTTGGAGATAAATGAATATTATGGATCTAGGAAAATTGATTTCCACATTGAAAGTAATACGTATTCAGCGCAAATCTGTGAATAACTTGAAGGTATTGCGTGATGACGTAAAGTCATCTAAGGAGAACTTAAAATATGAAAAAAAATTCTTAGATTTCAGCTTGTTTAGACTGTGAAGCTGAGGCATTTATATCACGTTCCAAATTTAATTTATAGTGCTCTCTGGTCAGTTAGTTGACCTAAATTGTCATGATCACGTACGCGATGATATCCAGGAATGCATAAGATAAAAAAAAAATATATTAGAACTTGCGGAAAATCTAGTATTTACCTGAAGTGCCGAAAAGACTCTCAACCGCGAAAGTGTCATAAAGAGATATCGCAATATTCTGTATGCTAAAAGTATTATTAAAAAATTGTTTGGTGCCCTATTAGATCTGTATGCGGGCTTTATGACATAATATTTAGCTAACATGATGCTTTTACTGTAGAAGTATTTAATGTTTTGATAATATCGATTGAATATTTCATCTTTTTTTTGAAAAAAACGTATATTTACTTTATCTGTTAAATCTTCTTTAATATCTTCTTTCTTCAACATCAGATTTTTGTTTGGCATCATGTGTGCAGACTTCTGTGACTGATCGTGCGTGAATCTGAAACTGAATAAAAGTATTTTTTTGCACTTTCTCCCACCTAGGGCTCATTTTTTAGAAATTTTTCTTTGTTTTATTTAATTCAATTTCTCTAAAGTGTTTTAATTTAGACAGTGAGTTATTCGCAAATTTACTGTGATTACTGATTAATTTGTTTCTCAGTGTTTCTTTTCTTTTTATGAACGATATGTTAGATGTTAAATAAGAACTATTTATTAAATTTCTTCATTTGGTTTATTCGCAGCAGCCATTCCCATTACTCCACTATTTTGCCTGTGTATGCCTGCACATATAAGAAAATTTCTCTTACTCATCGATTGTTAATCATTATTTTGTGTCATTCATCGGTTTAATAGAACAACATTTTATTAATTAAACAAAGGAACTTTTCCACTTTCACACTGCACATACTTCCCTTCGGCCATACATCGTTGTATCAGTATTACGCTAACCACTTTTAGGATGATATATACACAAAAAAAAAAAAAAATTTAAGGAATCTAAAACTGTTAAATAAATTGAAAAATTGATAAATTAAATTAAATTGAAAATTGATAAATTAAAAAATTTATAAATTGTTAAATAAATAGATGAACTGATTGATCTTTTAAATATATCTTATTCGCTCTGCGAAAAACTAATTCATGCATCCTGGAATAAAATAATAACTTCTGCAGGATGCATTTTGCGGTCTATGTCATAATAGTTTTGAGATAAATTCATAAATTATCCTAAATGAAGATTTCCATGCAAGAACTACGCCACGGCGAATTCAGCTTTAATCTTCCGATCACTGTAGCTCATAACTCTTTTTACACCAAAGCTTGATTTTCAGAACTGAGGTATTTGAGCTCCAACGTATAACTTTAGAAGTTATTTTTGGAGAGACGTCTTTCTTTGACAACGGCCAAGTCAATAGATTCAAGAACGGGTTAGTGAACTTCTCGAGCTCAAGAATGCTTACCACGCTCAGGAAACATCTTTTAAGCAATTTTTTCAAATCGCAGTCTCAGGGGGAAGAAGGAAATATATGCAGTCACCAAACAACAACAGTTCCTGTTATCTGAGCAATGATTATCATTCAGGTCCTGTTCAAGTTTGGCTAAAATCACTCCGTGTTCTTGAAAAATGCAGAACCTTGCAAACATTTTTAAGTCCTCAGTTTTTCTTTAAATGTATCATTATATGATATTTCGGTATTCTTGTTTTATTTCACATGTGTATATTTTTCTAAGATTCAGTGAGCACATAAAAAGTCTTATCGAAACTTTAATTTTATTTTTAATTCCTTCTTGTAAAATTAGTTTGAATATTGCTGTACGTTTCATAATGCGATAGATTACATTACACTGTGCACAACCATGAAGCGAAACCTCTTGCTTATATCGTAGTTGATATAATAATGATGATTCTATTTCCCTTACCATTGCTACTTAAAATATTCGGTAGATCATGAGTGTTTTCGCAAGCAAAAAAAAGTTTTTTTTTTTTTTTTTTTTTGTCTTTTAAATCAAAAATTTGAAGTCACCGTTCGTGT